TGCTGATATCGACATGGATCACCTTCTAGGTATTAAAAGAGGACAGCTTGCTGATATCAAGAGAAATGAACTTGCTGATATCGACATGGATCAGCTTGTTGGTATCAGAGGAACTGATCAAGAGAGGTATGCTTAGAAGTAATTAGCAAAAACATGTAAATGCAACGCCAATTGGAAGAAGATAATCACACGCATCCCATGACGAGACTGGAGAATGTGGTTCTGTCAACATGAATTTCAATTTCTACATCGTGTCTGAATTATTTGTATATGTATGTGAGTGATCAAGAGCACCACCATATTTAGATAGCTGAATATTATATTGTACAATTAAGAACCTCAATAAACCTCATTCATAATTCGCCATATAGATCTGTTCGTTGATATCTACCACCATTGCATCTACTTTTCCATGGCCGATAGAACAGGCAATGTGATGACATTTGAAGATTGGACACTGTTTGGGCGCGAAAACAAAGTTGACAAAACCTGACTTCGGGTTTGAAGGCATGAGGAAAGAAAATGGTAATCAATCATGATTTGAAAAATGTATATATATTTTTTTATTTCATTTGCGTTTTTTCCATCAATAAAAACTGCAATATTACTTTATTTTTAAATACGTTAAAGCGCGAGAGTCGTCACCTGCGCACGCACGGGAATTGAGTCCCAAGCGACGATAACACACACTCAAAATGCAAAGCCTCATGGGTAGACGCTTGTTTGTAAATACCGACACGCTATGGCCACCTGACGCATGCGCAGGTGACGACTCCCCCACTTAAGCTGAATTGTTATCCATAGGTTCAATATTCATAGACCACTTTCCCGGAAGTCAAAGATACCCCGTTTCACATGCGCACACTTGCCAAATATGGGGTGTGACTCGTGCTCCTGGGTGTACCAATCAACGACACAAAAATAAAATTCCATTCTATCAAATATAAACAAACTAATATGCCTGTACTTGCCGCCATGAGAAAGCAGGTGTATTTTTGAACTCATGTCCCTCTACTTTCACGAATTTGTCAAGGAAACAATGAGTTTTGTCATTTTACACATTCACGTAGATTTGATTTAGCAGATTTTACTTTCAGCGAAAATAGCGAAATAAAAACCCAGTGAATACTGATTTCTCTTTAATGCCTGTAGAGGGCGCCTTAAATATTACTTTGATTCACACCATCTTTTTAAATGCAGATATCTGAGTGCGTGTACTTCATTTTAAAGCTTTGAAGGCCATATCATTTTTCCACCAAGAATTCAGAACAATTTGCACACTTTATGCATTTTTATTTAATTTCATTTTATTTAAAACCAAATGGGCATGCCGTAAAATTACTATTTGACATGAGCCTTCAAACTGTTAACAAAAATGCCTGCAAAGACGATTTTATAATAGTTGACTTTGGGTTCAAAAGAAAATGATAATCATGATTTGAAAAATTATTTTTATTTCATTTGTCTTTTTTTATCCATAAAAACAGCAA